TATTGTAACCATACATTTTGTCTTTGTTGGGGAAATTAACATGTTAAATTATCTGACGGTTATATTACATTGGTGCAGAATACGTTGTAAATCTTCACTTTGAGAGAATAGTATTGCATGGTCTGCATATGCATAGCAGATTCTTTTAGCAGACTGCCTGGGGTGATTGCGGAGGGATTGTGTAGCTCTGCGGTAACCACAGACGCTCCCAAGCCCGGATAAAATGTGGAGGGTGATTGGCAAGGTTAGCAATCTACCAATCGTAAAAATGAATACTGCTCAAAGAAACAATGTACAGCCTTGGAACCGGATTGATGCTATAAAGACGACCACGGTAAGAAATAAGAACAAACAAAAAAAATTCACCTTGATTGTGTCTGATGTATTGATTTGTACCACTTTGCATATATTTACTTCTTGAGTGACCTTGAAAATTGCCTTTTGAATTGGGACCTATATTCCCATTCTAAAATTGGCGACACTCTGATATCTTATGTCCTGGTTGGTTACATTTATAACAAATTACTGGTTTATTGGCTTGGAATAACATTTTATAAACATTGTCTGGTTTAGCTTGTTTAGAAAGTTTCATTTCTTCATCTAGATAGTCTGGGTTTTACTAAGTCCATTTTTAAACTTGGTTTAATATTTTTATAGCTGTGAAGACTAACGCAAGGTCTTCATTTAATGATAGTAATAAATGACATACTTTCTTTTCTTCTTCTAACTTTTAACCAGCATTTTCTAAATCTCTTATAATGGTACCGAACAACAGAAAGTGATCTTCGAATTTTTCATTTCGTTTCAGTTTGAATGTTTACAATTTACGTTTCAATGTTAATTTTGTAAATACACTTTTTCTCTCGACTATATTTTCCACGGCTTTAATTATTTCTTTTGTAATTTTTGTATCCTTAACTAAATACAAGAGTTTGTGTGTTAAACATTGCACTATGATACTTTTACCTTTGAAATCTTTGAGTTTAAAAAAATTTTGTTTAAAATCCTTTATAAAAGGTATATAAAAATGCCCCAAACGGGCTATCACAAACACATTGCAAAACGTTTTCGGATTAAACAATCCATCATCAGTGCAAACGGTTGTACATGCTAGTAGCCACCAAAATATATGGGTAAAAACCCTTTAAATGTTTTAAATTTGTAGTTGTTTTACAATATTAGTATTTATAATTTGCGATGTTTAAGTTACCGTTGGATAGGTAACATGGTGGCGTATGACTCTACATGAGTAAAATGGTCCTGAGACGAAGTGTTTTACTGACCATTTTACTCATGTAGAGTCATACGCCACCATGTTACCTATCCAACGGTAACTTAAACATCGCAAATTATAAATACTAATAATGTAAAACAACTACAAATTTAAAACATTTAAAGGGTTTTTACCCATATATTTTGGTGACTACTAGCATGTACAACCGTTTGCACTGATGATGGATTGTTTAATCCGAAAACGTTTTGCAATGTGTTTGTGATAGCCCGTTTGGGGCATTTTTATATACCTTTTATAAAGGATTTTAAACAAAATTTTTTTGTGATATATGGTATACAGCCAGCTACAGGAACTTAGTTTCCTCGTGGAACTTTGAGTTTAAATTCTCTTTTCTCTCTTCATCATCATAACTGCCTCGACAATGCGTTGTGGTGTTTGGCCTGCTCAGAAAGAAGTCGAAAGTCCTGTCGATTCCTGGCAACTTCCCTCCATTTTCTGACCATCAGAATCTGTAGATCTTCTTCCACATCTTCAATCCATCTCCTTCATGGTCGTCCTCTACTTCTTGTGCCCTCTGGTTTTGAAAATGTTAATCTCTTCGTGTATTCGCGATCTGACATCCTGGCAATGTGGCTTTCTCTCTTGATTTACTATAATTTTGCTCTTTTTTCTTCGATACATGATTATTGCATTTACCAGCTAAGGAAGATACACAATCGCATTAGCCATTCTATTTTTATATTTCATACTTTCATTTTTTTATTCTTTATTTTTTATCTGGGCCTTATAACCTATTAGATTTTGTTCGCCACATGTGGTAATTAAGAGTTGACAATTAATGATTTTAATAAAACTAAACATGTGCTTTATTAATAAATGGTATTACAAATTCCAATAAAACGATCAGTAAAAATATCAAGGATCAACGTGTAACACTTTTACAAACAATTTACATTCAAATTGCTATAAATTCTAAAACTGAACTGAAATGAAATACTAGATATTTCTGTCTCCCACTTGGCTCATACTATCAACTCAACACACTCAATAAGCACGCTTGCACGTGCTACCACGTGACCCAATGCACATAGAGACACGTGTTACTTACCGCAATACACAATTACACCATAACGACGATATTTCTTGCATATAAATCGTTTGTATCGGTATGTTGTGATAACAAAGACACATTGGAACAGATAAATAGTACTTCGTTAAAGCAGCACACAACTTGTTGATTAAATTTTATAGGTAGGCGATGGTTAACGATAATGGAGATATATTTCATTTGATTAATTGAACTACAAATTAAAAGGAATGGTTTGCTGACTGGATCTATATATTATATAAAACAGGAGGAAGAAAGTTACCGGTCTCTTAATGGAAGTACAGCTACACAACTTATTCAAAAATTAATAAAAACCTAGCAACGACATCAACATACTCCTACAGCCAAATTCAAATCGAGTACTTAAAAATTTTATGAAATTGTTTATAGCTTAGACAATAAAATAACTACTGTAACTGTCGTAGCAGTGGCGTTCCGCATCTAGAGTGAACGAAGCCATGATACCATACTATGAGCGTCATGATATGAAACAGCATAAAAAAAGCAAGCACACGCTTGGGTATAAATCGTGGTGTTTTAATCAGAAATCTGGTTACCTCATAGATTTTAATATTTATCAAGGAGCCAAGGGAAAATCCAATGAATAAAAAAAGAATTTGGCTTTAGAGGTGGAATAATATTACAGTTTGTTCAACTTTTTCCTCAACTTGAATGCGATAGAGTTATGCTTTATTGCTTATATACTGATAATTATTTCACCTGCATGACGCTTGTATGAACCATACTATCACATAGAACAGAAAAGTGTCCATTCAGTGAAACGTTAAAAACATCCATAACTGGTGTAAGGGGAAAAATAAGGTGCTATTATGTAGGTAAAAAAAATGTGTGTAACAAAACCAAGAAACTGTAGAACAAATTGGAAAAAGCTATGAATGCGATGATATGGTGTACAATAACAGTGAAGGGAACATAGGAAAAGTCCGTAGTGAAGAGGAAAAGAGGAAGGAGAAGATAATGATCCCGACCCCACCAGCCAGGGGTCGGGACCTGACCAAGAAGGATCTTCCAAGGGAGGCAACCTTGCAAAGGAAATTCTCACTTGGAGAGAAAAGTTATGCAGAGTAGGAGGAGAGCTTTGACATAACGCCTATGGTAAGAGCAATGGAGAAACTTACCAGCATTACAAATAATTTATTGAAACTAATGTCCGACTATACAAACACGAAGGTTGTGATTAAAAATAAAATAAAAAAACTTAAGAGAGTCATCGAAGACATGGAGGGCACTTTCAGACAAGTTTCCTCCCGTAACGTCGAGAAAGGAAAAAAAAAGCGTGTTCACACAGTTGGATTAAAGAGCTCTCCCCCGAAAAAATTAGGGAGACAGAGATTGAAATGATGACAAAGGTCTTGAACTTAAGAGAAAAAGGCTTTGAAAAAATAGAGGAAATCCTAGAAATTGAATGGGAAGAAGAATATTATAAGGTTACCAAACCGGGAAGAGGGAATAAAGTAGCAGGCGACTTGGCAGTAGTTATGGAACCTGGACTTTTCGGTGAGGAGAAAAGTTTCCACAACCTGATAAAGAAAAAACCGGAACTGGGAATATGTACTGAAGGTACATATAGATCAGGACAAGTGGAATACTTCCAACTTAATACTATAACCACAATTACAAGGAAGGGGCAGGAGGAGGAGAACCGAGGAAGCCTTTAGACCATTTTTATGGTCCCTGTGGAAAAAGGAGAGACGGAAATGGACGGGGACAAGAGACTACTGGCAATTATGTCTAAATTGAGGAAAGACATAGAGATTGTAGGGACCAGAGACATCCTTAAAAGTAGTAGTAGAGATTGTAGGGACCAGAGACATCATTAAAAATAGTGGGCGGCTACAGTTGGAGGAACCTCAGGAAGCTCCTTGAAGTCACCTTCAGATGTATGGACCTCCACCTCTAATCCGTCTACGCAGATGGTACTGTTTGTGGCGTTCCGGACGATCCCGCCCACATTTTTAACTGCCAGAGATGGGCAAATGAGAGGGGAGATTTCGAGAGGTGAATGAGTTTCGAGCTGGATGAAAGAAACATCGTAAACATAATGTTGAGAGGAGAGAAAGAATGGAAAGAGGCACACTCTCTGATTTCTGGGGTGATGAAGAAAAGGGAGCAGGAAGACAGAGGAGGAAATTGAGCCAGGGATCGGAAATTTATGGTTAATATTATTTATTAGTTTATGGCCTAACGTCTGAAACATTTTCTGATTTACGATAATATGTATGGTAATTTTTTACTTTTTTATTTTATTTGTTTATTGAGTGGCAAGACCACGTCTCTGGAACAGTGGTTAAGGTTTTAGCCGGAACACGGTTAATCCGGTGCTACTCTGGGCTCTTCTGCCCTAGTATCCTACTCGGCCGAAAGTATCTTGTTCCATGACGTAGATGTCCAAAAAAGATTTCCCCCAACCGCTGCCAAAAAAAAAAGTTTAACCAAACTTAAGTTTATTTTGCATTATAAACTTGATACTTTCAATGCTATCTAGCTTATTTCTTCTCAATACACGTTAAAGAGGATATACGACAGCACTCAATTCTACCTATCATTCATTAACAAGAGATGTTATTACTATCAAGTAAATAAAATACTGCTGATATATCCATACAGGATACTTTTGATGTTGTGATCTTTTTTCAGGTCGAAGTTACTAGGCTTCCAGTTCGTCTAGACCAATCTCCAGGAGCACCTCCACCAATTCGCATAACTGTAGCCTCCTTGGACGAATACAACGCTCTGCTCCAACAAGGTCTAGACTTCTACGGTGCCACGTACTTTCCCACCGAGCCGCTGAAGAAGGACCAATTAAATCAACTTAGAGGCAGCAAGGAGAAGCTTTTGCCAGTGTTCGACTCCGCCGGATTCTCCAGGATCCCACCACCACCGACGAGGACTCTGAAGCCGATACGGTCATGAAAATTACAGAAATCCTGGCTGGTTGAACTCGTATATACCGCTTTTTACTTAAAATAAAGAAAATTAGCGAAACGTGGCAACACCATAACGTCTCTTTAACTTTTTGTTCTAGGAACGGTTTATTCATTAAAAGTTTGTATGTAATGTAACACTGTAAAGTTACTTTAAATTAAATTCGGAAAAGATCCATTAAAGTCAGCGTGGTTTACTTATACGAATATTATGTTACGACGTTGCCATTGTTCCTAATTTTTTTAATTTTATGGAAATTATAAGTTTTGCATATTAAATAAAGTTTTGGCAATAGTTTAGGCTTATATACGAGTTATTTTATAGAATCTAAAGTTTATAATTGAATAAACTTTAGATATCGACCGTTTTGGAATTTGAAAACGATAAGATTGTATTCGAATAATTTAATTATATCGTTAATTTTAGTGATTGATTGGCTGATTGTGTACAAAAAACATGCGACTTATATTAATTTTTCTTTATTTATATTTATCGTGTTATTGCACTTTTGTTAACTTTTTGCAATAAAACTCTCAACTATTTGAAATACCTTTGTTATTTACCTCCTATACACTCATAAATTAATTATATGAGATAATTCATAATGCAAATAAGAAATGGAGGAAATTGACCCACAAGTCAAATCACTAGATGAATGGTGGTTAAAAATGATAAAAGCTTTTAAAAAAAGAAACAATAATTCAATATAATGTTAGAGTTAAATGAACGTTAGGAATGAAAAAATACACTCAATATTAAATAAGGAGGTAAATAGGGAAATCGACTCAGAAAAATCAAGACAAACATGGAAAAGACGAATGGCACACTGTTATGTGTGCCATTGGTTAATATCGACACCAATGTATCCAGACATGAGGACAATACAGTAAGGTTGGACTGGTACAGAAAGAAAACATTCTCAGGTAGATATGTGCCTTTTTACTCGTATCATCCAGACGAGCAGAAGATTAACATCATCAAAGGTCTGAAAAATAGAATAAAAAGGATTTGTCACCCTTCTAATTACAATAAGAACATCAAGTTACTCTATGAGATTCTTAGAAAAAATCACTATCCTAAGATGCTTCTTAATAAACTGCTCTTCCAAGATATGCCAACAGTAAGAACACACCAAAGACAAACATTAGAAGAAGAAAGAGTAGAGCTTTTCTATGGGAGATTGCCTTACATCAGGGGTTTATCACCACAGATCACAAACCTTTTCAGACAGTTCAACATAGTGATAGCAAATTCAGTGTACAAAAGGTTAGGGACATACTTTACTCACCTGACAGAAAGAGTTAAAAAACTGGATAACTTTAATGTAGTGTATTCTATTCCATGTGGTGCTTGTTCGAAAGTATATGTCGGTCAAACCAGCCAGAAACTCTCAAAAAGAATAGCTTTGCACAAGAGTGATGTTGTGGGGAAGCTTACTAGTACAGCTTTTAGCCAATATATTAAGAATACTGGACACATTGCTAACTATGAAAATGTGCAAGTACTAAAAAGGGTTGACAACCAATTTAAGAGAAATTTCATAGAAATGTGCTACATCCACAACTGTAGCTCTTCTATGAACTGTAAGAAAGATGTTGAAAATTTAAGTTGTATTTATTCCTTTTTGTTTCAGCAGGATTTGACAAGATGTAACAGATTGGAGAATGTTGGTAACTTATCATATAACATACACAGATGACCTACCTGCACTTGAGAAAAGACTTCATTTCCCTGCTAATTTTGGTTCTTAAAAAGACTCCTTCCAACTTCCATGAGGTGCAGATGTAAATATAACCTTATTACATATGATATCGGGATATTGACAGAAATCAGAAACATTGTCATAAAAAAAGAAGAATAATTCTTCTTTCTACCTTTAGCATAAAGTTGCGGTTTTTGTGGGTTTTTGGTATTTTTTTTGTTTTGTATTTGAAAAAATACCCTTTTCTGTTGTAATGTTTTTATTTAAAATGTATTTTTTAATATTTTTAACATGTTTGTGACAGTGTTTTTTACCACAAGGACCAACTGAACATTTTCAATGTAAGTTTTTAAATGTTGAATTCCACCACTTGTTCTAAATAGGTTTTCCATTTAATTGCTGATGAAGGTGACAGCCTATCACCCAAAAATTTCACATTTAGAATAAAGTTCTACACCAAACTGGCTTATACCATCTCTAGCCGATCCTTGATCTGACGCTTTCCCGAAAGTTACCTACCAAAGAATTGTATTCTTAGCGTCGTTATATACACCATATATATATATATATATATATATATAATATATATATATATATATATATATATATATATATATATATATATATATATATATATATCATCATCATCCTGCCCCATTTTCACATCCATTGTTGGATATAGGCCTCCTCCTAACGTCTCCAGTTCTCTCTATCTTTAGCTGCTGGAATCCAGTTGGTTGCTATTCTCCTTAGGTCGTCGGTCCATCGGGTGGGTGGTCTGCCTCGACTTCGCTTGTCGGCTCTTGGTCTCCACTCCAATAATCTCTTCGTCCATCTTCCGTCTTCCATTCTAGCAGCATGTCCAGCCCACCTCCACTTTTGTTTATTGATTCGCAGTATAATATCGTTTACGCTAGTTCGTCGGCGTATTTCCTCATTTCTCACGCGATCTTTCAAGGTCAAGCCCAGCATTATATATATATATATATATATATATATATATATATATATATATATATATATATATATATATATATATATATAATAGAGACTGACAAAACATTTATTTTCTGGATATATATTAACATTGTCAGTTAAGTTAATTACTTTATAAAAATAGCCATCACATCTTTGTTTCTCGTAATTTAATACCGTTCCCGTTCCCGCTGTAGCACAGAAATTGTTATTTTTAATGATACTTGTCCCTCTGGTGTCACTGAAAAATGCCCTCAACCGTTCAATTACCCCTTAGCCGACCGAGCAGGAACGAACTACTTGCATCTAATGACCAAACCTCAGAAGCCATTAGTTCTTTCCATTTTCCATCTCCACCCCTCGCTCTCCATTACACTTTCTTTCCGTTCTCCTCTAAGACATATTACTCGATACTTTCCCGCCCAATTACTTTAATTACAAAATATTAAATATTAAATTTCACTCGGAGACTTCGACTTCTGCAGTTACTTGTCCGGAAAAACTAAGAACAGCGTCGTACTACTCGGAGAAAGCGGTTTTTGTACGAATAGTTTTAGGGGCCTTTACATTATCACATATTAAAATTGTATAAATACTCGAGAAGTATTAAAACCACTCTCGAGAAAGTTTTAGTAAAATTAAATAGTAAATGCAACTTTTAAATTAAAGTACATTTCCAGCTGTGTAAAATTTCTGGATTTCAAAGGCTGTACAACGCATGAACTTTTGTTATAAGTACTACTTTTTCCTATTATTTCAAACGTATCCGAAAAATTCTACAAAAAAATAAATACTGTTCAGACACTCTAGTACATTCCGTTCCATGTCAAGGAAAAAATCCAAATAGGTGAAAGGCTTAACTTCAGAGCATCGTTGTCTAGAGACACTACACTGGATCATCGATATTAATATCATCCTCAAACGAGTAGCAGAAGGCAAATCTCCTAGGAGCACTAGGTAGGGAGATTTGCCATCTAGAGAGAACTAGAAAACGCTCAGTGTTTTTCAGGACACGACCAAACTCTTCTTCTCACCTACAAAACATACATCCGATCTGTTGTTGAATACAGAGCATGCCTCCATTCGGTGATTGATAAAGGCCAAATGAACACATGACTACTGAAAGAAAAATCTCAAGGAAAATAATAGAAAGACGCCAATTTACTAATATCCCGAATATAAGATATGCCTCCAACCAACAATTTAAATGGACCTTCTCAGGACCAAGCGACAAAAGGACTCGGACCAAGCATCCGAATCTGCCATTTAAATATAGAGGGTATTAGTAGAAGTAAATGTGAGTACCTTCAAAAGGTACTCATTAAAAATGATATTGACGTGGTCGCAATTCAGGAAACCCATGCAGAAAATGAAGAACAAATTCTCGCTAGAGGAAGAATTCATGGCTATGATTTATTGGGTGCAACTTACCATCCAGCTTATGGAGTGGCAACCTATGTTCGAAACAAAATAGAAAATGCATACATACGTTCTACATCAGACATAAATAACATTCATACGGTTACTATACAAATTGGCGAAATTACTGTCAGCAATATTTATAAACCCCCGGCAGTCCTGTGGCCTTCGCATGTTATTTACGCCCACCCACACCCCTCAGTTTATGTGGGAGACTTCAACAGTCATCATGAACTCTGGAAGTATAGGCACAATGATCAAAACGGCGAGGCTTTAATAAACTGGGGCGAAGAGGTTGACACTTATTTAGTCTTTGATGCTAAAGATCGGGCAACTTTTCGATCTGCAGCCTGGAAGCGAGAATACAATCCAGACCTATGTTTTGTTTCCACAAATGAAAACAATCAACCACTGGCAGCTTCACGTACAGTATTGCCAGATTTTCCACATAGCCAACATAGACCAGTTGTAATAGAAATTGGCATCAAAATACCAATAATATCATCTTTTCCCCGACCTAGGTGGAACTTTCAAAAAGCAGACTGGGCGACTTTTACTGAAAGATTGGACAAATGTCTGGGAAGGATACCCCCAACACGTTCAAACTACATGAGATTTGTTGGCGCGGTTATCTCCACAGCGAAGAAAACTATACCCAGAGGATATCGTAAAGAGTATGTCCCAGGATGGGATGAAAATTGCGAGAAACTGTATCAAGAATACAACGAAAGCCAAGATCGAGAAATTGCGGACGAATTACTGCACAGTTTAGATGCAGCCAGACGACAAAAATGGATGGAAACCGTGGAAAAATTAGACTTTAGTAAATCAAGCAGAAAAGCATGGTCTTTACTTAGAAAACTTGGTAGTAGTAGAGTCCCAACTAGAGAAAAAGTACCAATAGCTCCAAACAGAGTGGCCTCCCACATTGTAGCAACCTCAAGAGCACCTAGAGATCGTGATCACACCACCAAAGTCAAACAAGAACTTAAAGTACTAAAGTCTGCATGCCCGCCTACTTCTGAATATTCTAACGAGTTTACTCCAGAAGAAATTATTTCAGCCATATCAGAAATTAAGTCTGGAAAGGCACCCGGCTCCGATAAAATTCATCCAGAATTTTTACTCCACTGTGGCAAATATGCTAGGAAATGGCTGGCTGATTTCTATACAGATATGTTAAAATCAGGAGAAATCCCCCATTCATTAAAAAAGGCCTCCATTATAGCCATATTAAAACCAGGAAAGGCAAATAATCAGCCTCAAAACTACCGTCCGATTGCTTTGCTGAGCTGTGTTTATAAACTGTTGGAACGCTTAATCTACAACAGAATTAGTAGAAAAGTATTTGAATTGATACCTATTGAGCAAGCAGGATTCAGACCTAACCGCAGCTGCACAGATCAGATCCTATCCTTAACAACACATATTGAAG